TGTGTGTGTGTGTCTGTATATATATATTTATATATTCGCGCGTGCGTGTGTGTGTGTGTGTGTGTGGTGGTGCGTGTGTGTGGTATGTGGTGTATTTGTGTGTCGCGTGGGTGTGTGTGTGTGTGGTTGGTGTGTCCTTGTGGTGTTGTGTGTGTGTGTGTGTGTATGTGTGTGTGTGTGTGTGTATGTGTGTATATGGTGTGTGTGTATGTGTGTGTATGTGTGTGTATGTAGTATATATATATGTGATGGTATATATATATATATATATATATATATATATATATAATATATATATATATATATAGTGGGTGTGTGTAGATATGTATTTATATATAATATGTAGTGTATTAATATTATATATATGTGTATGTATTAATTATATGTGTGTGTGTTATATTCGCGCGGTGTGGTGTATAATGACAAACTCTTGGTGCATATATTAACATCTCCGTGGTTGTTTCTGATTTAGTTATTCGATGGTTGATTTTTTTTCACAGACACAACATTAAATATAAATCAACATCTCCCTACCCTCCTCTGTGTTGATATGATTATCCAGCAATATAAATACGCCTACTTCTGGTGGCATAACATGTGTCAAGATCCGTATTTTTTTTTAATATGATTCCCGGATATATATTCACCTGTGTAATATGTGGGAGAAATGAAACTAAAATAAAGCAAAATGGGAAAGAAAAGGAACCGGCAACCTGATCAGAATTTGGATCACGTGACCTCGCCTCCGTGGCTCTCCACCTCGCGACCCCTTTAAAAAGTTATCCTCCGAAGGCGCTACTGACGGAGCTGTTATTTCTCCGTGCAGGCGCGAGTGCTGAAGAGGATGAGGAGGAGGAGGAGGAGGAGGAGGAGGAAGGGGAGGAAGGGGAAGAGGAGGATGCCGTGGACGAAAATGGCCAGACTCTTCAATATGTCAGGAAGGAAGGTAAGTTTTCCAATGATCCGCTCCGTCCATTTGTCTATATGTTTACCCGTGTGAATATCTGGCTGTTGTAAAGTCATGTATACATTTTGTATGACTCGATGGATAAGTATGCGTGTGTGCTTTGTGTATATGTGTAAGTGTGTGTGTGATTGTGTATGTAGTGATATATCCAATGTGTGTCCGTCGTGAAGTCCGTGTAATCATTCGGTCGTTTGTCAGAAGTCACCTTGTCTGTTTTGTCACCCTTACTCTGTCCTGCGTCCCCCCGCCCTTGGCACCACCACCAGTTCCCCTGCCAACCCTCCGAGGAGGACGAGAGAGGGCACAAGCGAGGGCATGGACACATAGTAAGGGGCACCTGCGAGCAGTGGGTGGAACGTATAAACGACCGGGCGCTGAGACGTCGTATAGGTCGCGAGGTTTGCAATGACGAGTGCGCTCTAACCCTGCTATGTCTTGCATAACAGAAGCTTCATTCTTTTTTTTTTTGTTAATGTTCTTCTTTTTATTGGGGGGGGGGGGGGGGTCTTCCATCCTTGCTGTCCGGATTGGCGAAATCTGTATCGGGAAAATTGAGCGTGAAGCAGGATCTGATAGAATACGTTTCACGTTCTGACATATATATGCCATCAGTGGTTTCCCTTGCTGAAATGAAATTTATTTACTCAACACCTTTTCTATGTGTGCTTTCACGATTCTCCCTAGTGTAGACAGCTTTAGGGATCTCCATCACTGTGGTAAGATTTCTACCACAAACCAATTTATCCGTATAAGCGGTTAGGTGTATGTGACTCATACTATTTACTGGGCGTGACAATAATGATTCATATGAACTACCTACAAAATGAGAAATACAGCAAGAATGCACACATATTCACACAAATTGCATTTTCTCTTTTATATAAAAAGTAAACAAAATGGAAAGAAGAAATAAAATTTTGATCCCGCGGGGTCCATCTACCTCGCATAAAAACTATTACCCCATGTCTCCCTTCCTTTTGTGGCACTGTCCTTTACCTTCTTGTAGAGTCCGTTAGCTACAAACACCAACTCCGGCATCTTAAGCAGCCTTGTAAAGCTTATAATTTCTCGTATTTTTACTTTTATTTTCTATAATATTTCCATGTTCATTCTTTCATAAAGTCTTATAAGTAAATTTCCTTTTTTTAAGATTAACATATTGCTTAGTGCATGTTCTCTTTTCTTTCTTTTTGGAAAATGAAATATTTTGCTAGCTTACTTCTGTAAAAACAAAGGCTTTTGACAGTGTGGAGATATGGAGGTTTGGTGTGTCTGCACTTTGATCATATCTGGAGGGTGAGCTCGAGTGTGGACTAACAGACCCTCGCTCTCGATAACGTCCTGCAGCATCTCACTCTCTAAATCATTCCTGCTCATGATGGAAATGTTTGCAGTCTATTTTCTTTCATGTGAGATCTCAAGCTTGTTTTTTAATCACTTTATACTTTTGGAAACTAGATACATTTTCTACAGAATAAAGCTGTTCTTGTCGAAGATTTCTGTCGACAAATTTTCGAAACGTAGTCGGTTCAAAGACGCTTGATGTTTCTGGTCACGCTTTTCTGTCGGCAATATTTCTTCTGTGTAACTCACAACACTGGCGCACACTAAGCCGCGTCATATGCTCAGATTGTAGTTCTTTGCCCTCTGCGTCACCCAAATCTTCATATTTCGCCCTGTCCTCTCTTTTTGTTTTATTCACGAGACAAAACTTTCGCTGTGGAAAGTCTCTCACTTGGGATAGTTGCTAACGGAGGGAACATCTGTCCTCCCCAGATGTGGTGGTGCATCCTCTCAAGGCATTCACTCACTACGCAGATCTGTCTATTTCCGAGTTCTCAGAAGATCCTCATAACCCAGATGCTATTAGTCCGCTGCCTCATGAGGCGCTTCCACCTCACCCAGACGCTCTAGCTCACACGCCCTCCTCTCCCCGCGTTGCCGCTGAAGCCAGGCCGCGTGCGGACGAGGCCCCCCGTGAGGTTCCGACCTCGGGGACTCACGCACTCAGTGAGTCTGCCGCCCCGGATGCCCGGCCCAAGAAGAATTACCGCAAGTACTCGAGCACTCTTCACGTGACGCTCTCCTCGAGGAAGCCCGACCCCTCCCCCATTGCCCCAGCCAAGCCGTTCGACTCCCATAAATCCGAGCCGGATCTCCGGTCCTCTGACGCGTACGAGTCCATCTCAAGCGGCCAGGCAAAGCAGGAGGAACCTCTCCACTCCCCCGACTCCCACGCCCCCCGTCCGGAGAGCCGGTCTGCCCCCTCCTCCGTCAGGAACTCGCTCCTGCTCGGCGACTACGACGCGAGCGACGAAGAGGACTCGGTCAGCATCACCACCGGCAGACTGAACCTCTCCTTCAGCTCCGACGGAATCAATGTGAAGTCGGAGCTGGTCCAGACGGAGCAGGTCGCGGCGTCCGAGCACGAGGCGGCGCTGGGGAAGGGGGCGTTGGGTGACGAGGACGAGGACAGCACGGAAACATGTGTCAGTAATCCTTTAGAGGCGGACGGATCGTTGGAAGAAAGGGTTAGGATGGCAGGTAACTGTGGTGATATCTGGAAGTGTAGGCTGGTCCCATGTCCGCACTAACACTCCCACAGTGTCATCACACACCCACACGCATCGTCCCACCCTCCTCCTTGGGCATGACGCTAACTGTGCTAATTCTCTGTTCTCTCAGCTTTTGCATCACTATCAACCTCTAAAACATCCCCAGATATTTTTATCAATCCCCCTTCTTGCTTAAAGCATAACTGACTTTCAGTATTCTTTCCTCCACCAAGTGCGATCCCATTCAAAGAGAGCTAACGCAGGCTTCGGCTCCCGTCCTCAGAGCGGAGTGACAAAAAGCCCGGCGAGGTGTCGAGGTTCGAGGAGCCCGGGATGGCCCAGACACGCCCGGGCCCCGTCACCATGCAGAAGGCCACCGCCATCGTGGGCAAGGCCATCGCGAAGGCCATGGCGCGCGAGACCTCCGTCAGGGAGTCGCTCAGCAGGTCGGTGACGCCTGAGATCGGTGACGCCCCCATGGTCACGCCTGAGCCGTCGGAAGAGGAGGAGGAGACTGTTGGCCAGGGTGCGTGGTCCTTGTTGGGTCGTGAGAAACACTGTGGAGAATGTCACGTCCGCTTAGATCATGTCACCTTCCTCTGTCAGCATATACATGTCAATAACTGATGATGTGTTTATGAAATGTTCTTTGTAGGAAGTTTGGAATGAATGGTACCGATATTGAGAGTAGCATTTTTTTATATGAAAGAAAATGAAGGAAAATATGTACTGATATAGTTTTCACATTACAGCTCCGATTACCGATTCTGAAGATGACGATCACCTGCGCACTCTAGACACCATCCCTGAAGAAGGTAATGTTTCTTTCCTGACACAGTGAAAGAATGATAAAAAAAATCTATAATCATAGTATGTTTTGGTTTGGTGAATTCCAATAATACATTTAATTCTATTTGTTAATTCTTATTTTCCCTTATTCTTCATTTTAGCCCATTTTCTTATTTTTATAATGGTATTATTTCCCTCTTGATCTCATATTATATTAGTCCATTCTGTTTCAGAGGAGATTAGTGAAATGACTGAATCGGGCCGGATCATTTCTAGATCAGCGTCTAAGAGTAAGTACAAACTCTCAGGTCAAAAGAGTATACAGGGCGAGTAGAGTAAAACATGTTCCTTTGCAAGTAAACAGTCACTACTGTAGTAGGACAGTAGGGACTGTCGTAAGGGTATGAGTAGACCTTTTCTTTAAGTCACGCTCTGCTTCCATTTATCAGCTGTAAAGTGAGCTTCTTGCTAACACGAGCGTTTTCATGCTGCGTTCGTGCTAGCCTCTGTACGCTTTCTGATCTTTTATTTTTTGTTCTTATTTTTTCTCTCGTCTCACATGACAGTATTTAGTTTTACATGCGCTGAATTCATCGACACCAAAAAAGGTTTGCGAGACCAGGCACACAGTTAATTGATGGGGCGGGGCCTAAGGACTCCTAATGAGTTCTGCTGACAAGGTACATTTATTTGGATATATAATCTTCACAGTGTCATGTCTTATTCACTCTTGGGTAAGTCTGCGAACCCGGCATTAGCTTCACTCACGCGCGAGCCTTCCGCTGCTTTGTTGGCAGTATGCAGTTCTAATATCACGCTTCTGCGCTGACCTTCCGCTGTTGCATTGCCTCGCGACGACGCTGTGCTGGTCTCGCTCCCCCGCGGTGTCCGAGATGACCGTAGAGCCCAAAATAACCCGCTTCCTCCTTCCTGCTCTGGCCATGGCGCTTTCTCTTCTAGATCTGTTCCTTCCCTTCAACCCAACGGACGTTGTCCACCTGAACGCCGTCGGCCGCGGCGCGGCAGCTGCTGGTACTGCCTCCCCAAGACCAACTGCCTCCAGCACCGCCAAGGCCGCGTCGGACGAGAAGGGCGGCACCCCCTCGGAGGCCGGACGCCCTGCCAGCATCCCGGAGCGTGCCGATGAGAGCGTGTCCGAGGCGCCGCACAACTATTACAACGACCCTAAGTACAACTACTACAACGCCGCCGCTGGAGCGGAAGACGCCCCCGCCGAGGAGCCGCCAGTCAAGCTCGCTCCCAACGATTACGAGACCATGTACGAGGTCAAGCGAGAGCTGGACAGTTTGCGCGACACCAGCGATGTCACGATGGGGAAACTCAATGCCCTCATCACAAACGAAGCCCAAGACGCGCGCGACAACGACGACGAAGGTATCTATTACGAGGAGGTCGTCCTGAAATCAGGCATCGACCCTTCCTCTCAGGCAAAGACCGAAGCTGGGAGTGAACCTTCCACCACTACACCCTCCCGCAGGCGCCGTCGCAGGCGTCGACGTGGTCGTGGTCAGGGTGAGGGCGGCGAGGCAGGTGGGGGTCGTGGCAGAAGTCAGTAAAGGCGGACGACTTGCATGACGTCACGCCGGCATGACATTCTTGCTCCTCACACCAGCTCACTCTTCTCTGCCACTTCCTGGCCCTAATGCTTCTTTAAAAACCGCAACTTTGGCATTGGCGGAATGTCTACCTTTTGTTTATAATATAGATAGATAAATACTCTTTCGTTTTGTTTTGTTTTTAATCTAAATTTCTAATAGTTAGATCTAATCATAGACTTAAATACCGCCCGCCATTAAATACTTCATTAAATGCATGAGATCCAGCTAATTCAAGCTTTCTCCTCGATTTCCATATTTTGAGCATTATAGTTATGACCTTGAAGTTTCTTCCTTGACCCACGAGACACCAACAGCTGACGGGGATACTCTTTGTCTAGGAGCGTCCAGAGCAGACCAAAGTGAACCTTCCGCGCCTGCGTCGTCGTCGTTATCGTCCGCACCGCCCCCTCAGGCGCCAGCCGACACTTCACCGCCTCCGCCCGAAACGACGCCCTCAGCGTCGCCTGCGGAGTCTTCACCGGCACAAGCTGAAGCCGAGGCGTCACCGTCTGCGTCCAATCCGGAGCTGCCTGAACCAGCCGAGACGCCAGCAGATGCTGCGACTACCAAGGCCGCGGGCGGACGCCGACGGACCAAGTTATCAGACAGTAAGACTTATTCCATGATAGAAATCGTGTCGACCAAGACCAAGGAGGAGGCCGCGGACTCTTCTCAGCCTGCGGAAGGAGCCGCCTCTACAGCCGCAGGGACTTACACCCGCCGCAGGAGACCCGGAACGGCCGCCGGCGCAGACGACGCAGGATCATCATCGACGACCAACCAGTCCTCTGACTACGCCGCTGCCACTGCCTCGACGACCTCTTCGACGAGGACGAGGTCGAAGGCGAGGGTCTCGGAGTCATCAGGAGACTCGGAAGACGATGACCGTCCGTCGAGGGTGAGCGAGGAGGATCCCTCAAAGATCCCTCATCTCTTGGTCCAGGTAACACGGCCTTAATGCTTCTCACAGCTTCGCCCTCCAGTAACCAAGAGACAGACACCGAGTCTGCTCTCAGTGCAAACATTTTTTCATGTCTTTTCTTTTCTTTCCTTTTCTTTTTCTTTTTCTTTATTTTGTTCCTCAAGTTCCTCCCCATGTATTTAATTCTCTCGGCACGCCGGTATTTTTTTCTCTCTCTCGCTCTGCGTATAAACTAATTTCTTTTCTTTTTTTATTCATTAACTTATTGAGTTCCCTTTGGAGTCGAATTGTCCGACACGAGAGCAGACTCGATGACTTGTCTAATGAGTGACTATCGCCATGCATGCACTTTTTTATTATTAAGTTTCTTCTTTCAAATTCATAAGTGAAATTGAATAAGAATAGATCGTAATAAATTGATAGTTTTTCCGTAGTCGAACAACGTTGCCACTTACACAGAAGTACTACTCTCTTTGCCACTATATCAAGAATGCGCAGTAGGCATAAAATCACAGTTTTCTCTATCGTATATTCTTCAGTATTTCTTCCTTGATGTAAAGATAGCAATTCTAAATGTCAAAAAATATATTCAGTTGCTGAAGTAAAAATTACTATCGCTAGGCGTCTGTAGCATCTGTTGTAGTTGTT